CCCCACGTTTGCTTGAAAGATCTTAAGCGTTTTCCTGTCGTTGTTGTGTGTTCTTGGCCGCCTGCTCATGGAGAGGAAGGGTCGGTGTTTGCACGGCGTCGCTTAGGTGAAGTCGGCAGAGGTCGTCGAGATGCTGTCCCAGGACCCTGTCTCAGGACCCTGTCTCAGGGTCCTGGGTCGCATCGGGGATGTCGTTGGTAGAACTGGCAAGGCGCAGGCCAAGGGATTGGTCAGGTCCAAAGGGTTGACGGGATTCTGAAGCAATTCCATGACTGCCACCGGAGCGCGCTGTTGTTCTGTGGCTGGTTCGGTTGCGATGTGTTCGTTGGGTGTCGCCTGCGATTGCTGTCGCTGCTGTACCGCCTGGTGTTGCTGGAAGAGCTGGGAGCCCATCTGTCTGACGACCGATCGTTGTTCCCTTGAAAGGCGACGGTAAAGACCGCGCATTTTCTTTGGTCGAGCTGGGCAGTTCGCGAGCTCTGCGGTGTGTGGTCCAAGACAGTTGGCGCATTGCTCGGCCGCACCACAGCTTACACTGGTGTGGCCGGTCTTTCCATAATGCTTGCAGCGTGTCTGTCTGTTGCATGCATGTCGTGTATGAAAGTCCCAGCAATTATCACACTGTTTAGGAGAGTTCTTGTTCTCGATGAGCCTGGTTGGTCGGCTGGTACCGAACAGACTCTAAGGCCGTTTCGTTGGTTCGAGGAAGGAAACAATGAGGGTCTTGTAATGAAGCTGTTTATTGTCGCGGCGTGGGGTTCGGATGCTGACCGGCGTAAGGCCAGTCTGGTGGTTTATTTCGTCACGGACGGCTGTGTCGTAGTCAAGTTCGTTCCGTCAAACATCAGTCAGTCTTCGGGGGCAGTTATTCACGGCGTACGGATGCCATTTCTGGCTGGCCTCGAGGGCAGATACGCCGAGATCATCGGCCCATTCGGCCTGGCGTTCTAAAAGAACGTCACGAGTAGTCTTGTCTACAGCACGGATGGCCCAACCTGTGTTCACTTGAACGACTTGCGGGATCTTATTAAGTTCAAGTCCGGTCTTTCTCGCAACGTGAGCGCGAATGGCGTAACCGACGTGGTTCCTCGCCGGCGCATCGGCGTCGGGCCGGACGATAACTCAGAGGTCTTCTCGGGGTGGGGCGGGTGCTCGTTGCCCTTGGCGATACGTAGCTGTAGGAAGCTGCTGTGGGTAAACAGAAGAGGTGGTGGATGGTCGAATGGGAGAGACGGTGGCGATGGCGGCGGCAGTGGCCGTGGCAGCCACGCTGCTGTAGGTCGGTGTAGAGGCCGACGGGGTGCTGCCGAGTGCCTGTTTCCAAAATTCGAGAAAGCTTACTGAGAAATGCTGGGCGAAGTCGCGTTCCAGTCCGGATGGAAATTCCTCAGCTACCCTATTGAAGTGTGTGCAGAAGGTGCGGAAGACTCTAATTTTGGCATTGTGGGCAGCGGTCTGCTCGTTGCCGAGCTGGCCGGCTGCTTCGGTGATGTCTATGGGCGACTGACGTTCACGTAAGCCCGAACTGGGCAAGGTAAGGAATTCGTCGAGCTGCTGTCCTCCGAGTGAGTGACGAAGACGGCGTCTGGGCCAAGGGGCCACGAACTGGTGAGACGTCAATGTCAGTGATCTCCACTGGGGAGCTGTCTCGTAGGAGGGCTGCGCGGGCAGCTCGAGCTAAGTTCTTAGGCGTGTAGATACCAAGATCAAAGGCATCCGGCTCGCATGGCGGGCTGGAGGTCGCCATCGCCATCGCCATCGCCGCTGCCGTAGCTGCGCAGCGCGCAGAAAATGAAGCTTACGGTTGATGTTAAGTAAATGGGTGCAACTAAGTGCACTTTCTTAACAGTTGCATGCCAAGAAAGTATGATTACAAGGGAAGGTGATGTTGTGCGGGAGCTAATGAAGTCATAGCCCCAGGGTAAGTGCCAAAGGCAGGGAATTTCAAGTCCCGGCGACCATCGCGCTCGCGCACCTAAACGCTACCATGTAACTAATCATTTCGCAGCACCAATATGGGACGAAGAAAAGGCTCCAAAGCGAGACCGCAGTTCAAAATCTAGCACAATTATGTGTCCAATTTCCGAGGGTTACCAGATCTTCATAACTAATGTAAGACAAAAACGACCCAATAGCTACGATCCATATCTAACCCAAAGTCTTCATTCGTGAGCAATATCAAGTTCGTGACTGAACATATGAACGAGTTTGCGACAATTCGAACAATTCTTCCAATCTCCGTTGACAGTCAAATGATCTGACTGATTTACGCAGTTCAGTTGAAGGTCATGGACATTATCACTAGAGCCAAGAGTTGCAGGCCCGCAGCTATATGACTCAGGGCTCCCAAGGTGTGTTTGCACCGTCGTTGGCCGGCAAATTTGGAACATGCTGTCATTTACATGTTCAGCAGGTTCCAAAGTTGCTGGGGGTGTAATAGCCTTAGATTTCTTCTTTTTCTTCTTCCTTTTGTCCTTTGTCGGGGTAGGGTCTTTTGGCGGCGTTGTGACCGGGCCGTCAGTTTCGAGAAATGGATTTACGAGGGGTACAGCTACTCGAAAGTTAGGAGCACGTCAAACTGCCATCTGCACCCTCGTCCGGGACTTGGCAAAAGAAATGGGCGGGAACCGATAAGAACGTGCGGAGATGGATTGGGGTAGTCACACTCCAATATTTGGAATGGTGATACTTTTCGCTGACGGAGGTTGCTCTTCCTCTTTGTCATCGAAAGGCCTGGTCTCTGGCTCTGGCTCCGGCTCCGGCTCCGGCTCCGGTTCTGGTTCTGGTTCTTGCTTTTCCATGGGTATGCTCTCCCCACACTTTGTGGCCGGCGCTGTCCCTTCTCCATCCACCGGTTGTGGAGTTGGTTCTTCATCTGGCAGTTCTTGAAGATTTCTTTCAACAACACTCTTGAGAATAAGTTTGGCAATTGTGTTTGGAGTTCCGAATACAGACAGCACTGCTTCTCCGGCCGTTCTTGTTGAAATATCGCAGAAATCTCGTATACGTGATCGAATATATGCGGCCACCTCTGGAATGCGAATAGTGTCGGATAATGCCTCTGTAGACTGAAGTCGCAGAGCTTGGTGTGATGGCTGGATGTCATAGCGTCGGCTATCATGACTAAATTAGCCGAAAGTTAGATTCGGACGAAAGGAAGTTTTTTGGTATTAAAAGAGAGCTGCAGACGGAGTCTGCAGCACTCGCAACAACAAGAATAATGATTTTATCAAGAAGCTTAGTTAACATGAGTCTCATAACGTGACAGTTATGAGCCCGGTACGCGCTAGTCGGATGAAGACATCCCTGTGCAACTAAAAGAGGCAGGAGCACGTGACCACCTTAAGGGAGAGGAGGTTGAGAGTTCAATTCCTGCAACAAGACAAGCCCAGATGGTGAAGAGCCATGAGGCAAGCAAAGAGTCCAGAGACCAGAAGCCGCTGTTCAGGAAAGCTTAAAGCGAAGAGTCCAGAGGTAAAAAGCCCAGAGATCAGAAGCCGCTGTTCAGGAAAGCTAAATTGACTCTACCTTCCCTGAGGGGGTGTGTCGCATAGAATATAGGCTACTATTAGTGCTACTAGAAGGAATTCAGTAGACCTAAAATTTTGCTCCTTTTGGCGCAACAGTTATGAGCCCGGATCCGCGCACTAGGTCGTCGACGAGAACAACCACACTGCGAAAAACTGCACATTGACAGAACACAAGAACAGTGTTCGTGAGACAGTTAGCTAAGTGAAATCAATCCCTTCTGAATAATTTAGTGCAAAATGCCACCTTCCAAGACTGAAGTTATCCTCACGCCGATGAGCATGCCGGTTTCCGTTTTTGAGGCAGTACTCATCTTGGCTGGTCCCTACTTTAATTCGACTTCGCTGCATTCAGTGTGTCCAATAGTATAT